GGATTTACACCGACCGCATGACCAAACGGCAGTAGGAAAAGACCAATGAAAGCCCATTTAATCCTTAGCTGCCACAGGGGCTGGAAATAAAACACCCTCACCGTTGTTCAGCGGACTTCCTCTCATTTTCACGGTTTTCTAGTGGAACCGTGCTGTTTTCATGCTAAGGTGTTTGCAGGAGCTTGGGATCAGTGGGAAGGCAGCCCCAGGGTAGGAGGTCGGCATGCTGAGGCCCACGGGGAGCACTGTTCCCGCAATGTCACGCCTCGCCTGTAACAAATCACACAACTGGATTATTTATTAATTCCCCTTTTTTTTCCAAGGATGATTGCAGGGAGAATGAGCTCGACATGTCCATTTGGAGCTCCTGTGAGATTTTTTTTCACACGGAGATTTTTTTTCATGCAGAGTCCCCCAGAGCTTTCGGGGGAACCAGCCCTGGGTAGGCAGCAGGACTCCATCTTCATCACTTCTGACAGCCCCTAGCAAATGAAGGCAGGCCTCTAGTGGCTATTTTAGCTAACGGCTATCGTCATTAATGACTGATGTGCAGCTGAAGAGTGCCCTTCAATTCTTAATTTTAAATGTATATCTACATTATCATGTCCGCTAATAAACAATATTTTATTCTGATATTATTTTTCAGACAAGTATCTTCCAATGTAAGAAACTACAGAATGAAAGGTTAAACTTCACACTGGGTTTTTCTTTTCTCTGTTAGCTATCAACGATGGTGAACTAGCAACGTTTTCTGAAACATGCAGGCCAGAAGTATCTGCAGACCTGTGTTGTGAGAGAGAGAGGGGGAGAGGAAGAGAGAAAGACAAAGAAAAGGTTGGTTTTGGTACAGGAAAGTAGGAACACATCTGTAACAACATATATAAACCTTCTTAAAGATAACACATGGTGGGTTTAATTTTAGGTAGTCAAGTCAGTATTTAATGGAAATGTAAGTGAAAATAATTTGAAGTATTGTTCTCGTCCAACGTAATCTCTTTTTGATTAGTATGGATTGGACACCTGAACTGATATATGATGTTTAGCCAAATTGCTCATTTAGTTTTATTATTATGCATATTGCTTTATTGGCAATGGAGAGGGGAGATTGAGCATGATTTTAATAAACAGATTTAAGAAAGAAATTACATTTTTCCTTTCATCATTTTTCTATATGAATTTCATGCAGTTTAGCTTGCTCAAGAAGGGGGATGAAAGCTTACAAGCTTAGTCTTCCCTACCACAGGAAATACATTAATAAAGCAGACTAAAGAATATTATGCATCTTAAAATAAAATAAAATAAATATTTGCAAGTCATTTACATTGACCAAATGTTTGCATAAAATAAAAAGGAGGAAGATGCAAACCAGTTCGGCTTATGGAGTTCAGAGCATTACCTTCACAGTATAAGATACTGTGATGGGTCACCTGTGTCTAGACAAGACAGTGGGTCAATAAAAGCTTGTTCACTATTTCAGCTGCACTTGCAGAAATGATGCTTAGGCCATATTCTGTAAAATGTGAAACAACAGGAAAAAATAATAAATACCTTTTTTCTTTTAACTTTGCATTGCGAATGCTGACGTTGGCATTAATTAAATGTATATAACAGAACTCCAAGCAATTTTCTTTCTTCAGTGTGTCTAGGACAATGTTTCACTTTGTTATCATTGGAGTTAGCCAAAGAAGCAGCACAATAAAATTCTCTTTCTCATGTGCATTTTTGCAGACTACATTTTCTTGCAAATATTTTTAGATGGAGTTCATTAGAAAATTCACAGTGGACAGAGCTTCTGTTGGAAAATACTCATTGAAACTGAAGTGCTTTTAGAAATGCGCTATATTTTATTAGTACAGTGTTGACATGAACAACATTGATATGTACAATATTAAGAGCAAAAAGATGCTGTTAAAAATGAAATCTATTCAAATATACTGTTTCTGAGAAAATTCTGAGCTTTCTGCTTTTCCTTTTTTCCTCAGATACAACAAAATTTGTAGATGTCTGAATTTTCCTGGGCTGACAGTCCATAATACAAAGTACAAACATACAGATACCTGAATTGTCTATTTAAAGTTCTCTATGTATAATTCAGATTCTCCAAACTCAAAGGAACTTCAAAAAGCAACACACATTACACACTTTTAAAATAATATTCCAAAGGAAGATTTAGTCCAGTCCTTGGCAGCAACATGAATGTTACCTTCTGTGGTACTCCTTGCTGAGGCATGATACAACACCAGGCCAGTGGTGATGTTTTTCTATATATAAAATATCAGTGATGTCCATTCTAGCCATGACATAAGAGAATTTAATGTTACTAAAGATGGACAAGGTATTTTATTGTAAATGTCTCCCCTGAAGCAGGGCAATTTGGCACAGTTAGGTGAGGTTATGAGAAGTTTGGGGCCTTTCTTAATCCTGTGCATGTCACTCATGGTAATTTAGGACCTATCCTTTATATGGAGATGGCCAAGGGTGAAGACCCATGAACACTTTCTAGAACAATTTTAATGAAGCTAATAAGGCTGTAGCACATGGCAAATTACACACACAAAAAGGATGTTAAAACTGTAAAGCTAAGTACTCACAGGTCAGAAAACGTGGGGATAATATTTGTCCTTGCCTGCTGATGAGCACTGAAACACAGTTCTTAGTTCCATAATTCTGTAATCATACACTTTGAGCCTAGACCAATGAGTCCCCAGGACCTTTACTCTTGTTGAGTGTACAGGAGAGATTACGCACATTTAATAAACAGCCTTTCAGCATTTTGTTTCGCCCCTGTTCTTCAGCATATCATGACTACCAACAGCTCTATTTGTCCAGAGGCCCTTTCAGAAGACATGAAGGTGTTACTGCCTTTGTGAGGAGGAAGAATGGAAGTACAGAGACCTTAAGACTGAAAGTAACTAGTATTTTGGAGTTCAGGATTCCCTTTTTTGGGGCATTTGGCACTATGCGGCACCCCAGCTGGTCAGGGCTCAGGTCCTATGGGCACCAGGCACTGCTGAAGCTGCCCACTGCTTCGACAGTTCAGATCACAGGTCCCAGCTTCCGAGAGGAACTCTGCTGCAAAGACGGAAGTGACTGTGTTTTCCTGTTATTAGCATTTCATTCCTGCCTGAAACCTTTTGTTCTCATTCCGGAGTGCCATTTCTCAGGCATTATACATGTTTGGATTTCTGCAAAAAACAACCAAAAAATTGCAGTTTGAGCATCCTGTTATACATCCCAGGTGAGGTGCTTGATCACACCATTATAAACTGTTTAGGAAGAGTCCTTGTGCTGGTGAGGTGGCACAGTTAACTGCTTTCCATCACAGGAAGCAGGAGAGCAGAGTGTGAGCCGTAGGTCTCGTAGGTGAGGGCAGGCTTATACTGGCTGCACTGACCACTGTTCGGGATGAATCCTCCAAAGGGCTTCTCCGCCTCCTAACAGAAAACCCAAACTCACTTTCCTAACACCCTGCTGAAATCCTGTATGCAGGGAATAAACCATCTCACATATAGGCCATGAAAAACTCATCACTCGATTGACAGAATTATTAAAAGGTTTGTTCCTTTCAGGACCTGGGCTGAGAGAAAATAAGAGCTGGGAGCGGCCACTTTAGAGGAGCAGGATCCACTCTGCCGTTGTAGGTACCTGCCACCCAGGTTCCCGGCTTCAAGCTGAATGGAGCCCAGGCCGCGGCAGCTAGGTTGCAGACAAGACTTTCAATCTGTCCTAATGCGGGTGATCTATTTTCTCACTTTTAAAGGAAGAAACCCTTCTAAGTGCTTATATGTCCTTTTTTCATTTCCAAGCAATCAACTATTTCAAGCAGCAGCCTAGGAAACTTTGCTCTGCTTCTCACATGTTTCCAGACTTTGGGCACGCTGGCCCAATTGCTGAAAGGACATGAGCAACACTCAAGGAGTGGTATTCACCCCCCAGCTGGGCAAAGCCCACAGTTTAAATTTTGCTGCCACTCAGGTGAGTGCAGGGAAAACTACAGGCAAGCAAAGAGAGGGCTGCACAACCTTGTCCTCAGGCGCGGGACACGGCCAGCCCCAGGACAGCTGCTATTTCAGTCACAGCTCCTGAGGACAGCCTGTCAGACAGATGCATTGGCTCGTACCGCGCTGCAGTCCCACGCTGCAGGAACAGGTCCAATTGCCATAGAGCACATTAAAAACAATGCACCACAGCACGGCTGGGCTTTCCCCATCGCTCTCACTGCTCTTCTGCCGCTGCTTTTGCACCCCTTGCTCCTCAACCAGCTCGTTCCCTCTCGCCACCCCCTCATGCAGACCCCCAGGTGCCAGCCCCTGAGCCCTCCCCCATCCCCTTTCCTGCCTCCTTGCTGCTGCGCTGCCTTCTCCATCCCTGGCCCTGCACAGCCC